TTTCAACAAAATTCCCAATATATTAAACTTATGAAACTGTTTGCAATTGGCGCTAACACCAGCAACAGCTTAACAAGCTACTTTACGCGATAGATATATACGCAGCAAACGATAAGCTTGGTTCGCGTCTCCGGCACATTCACCCTATTATCTCATTAATCCATTGTCGTCACAAACATTTCTTGTAATTTTCTTCGTATAATAATTGCCATTACAGGGCAAAGGTACTGCACTGTACCCATTCGTTTTTATTGGGACACGGTAACGTGTACAAATAGATGCTTGTATGTTTATAAATTCATTTACAGTTAATTTGAAAGAAAAGCAAAATATTTTTTCGTCATTATCTTTGCTAATATCCGGCTTAAAACGTAAAAATCATACACAGGCACAGCCTGAAAATACTGTATACTTTCACGAGCATCCTCGCGAAAAGCTTATCGACTCCCCAAACAAATGCATACCGTTTTGCGAACGTGCTCGGTACGGAGAGTTATGCTTCTCTCCGACACTTAACTTTCATGGGCATTGCATTGCCCATTCTTGTCAAATTTTGATCGATGCATCGCAAGCCTTCTTTCTCTTTTTGCTTCACCGACTTTCGTTCTCCGCTATTGCCTCCCACGTTCGTACCGCTGGCAATCTGCCAGGGCAACAGGTAGACGGCCGAAAACCATGTAGAGTAGGATGTTCAAAGGGAGGATGAACACAATAGCCAGGCTGCGTAGGTCTGATGTCTAAAAGAATGCGACCAAGACAAGAAAAAAAGGCTAGAACTTACTTGTGGATTAGGCAAAGGGATAAAAGAGAGAAAGTAATAAGAATCTAGAAACATTCTAATTTATATAGAGTTTGAAAAGATTTAAGTAGATATGCTTCCCAGAAGGCAGAAGGACGATCACGTATTTGAAAACGTTTCACGAACATACGGGAAGGTGAGCTGTTGCCTGCGTATTCGATACTTAATTTCTCGTTTATTAGATTTATACTATATATCCCCATCTCTGTCTAACTTGACTAGAATTCACAAGGCATCCACTATTATTAGATATATTAATGGTTTGCCTCAACGTTGCTTATCTGTAAATAGTCTCGCGGGCTATGCTTATTATTTCTCGTCACTTTAGAGTTTAGTCTCTCCTCGTTCCATACGGTTTCTGCTAACATTTATAACAGTAGTAATAATTAATAATAGAACTAATAGTAGTAAAATGAACAATTCATGGCCGGTTGATGGTGTGCTGTTTGTTAGATGTGATAGCAGGCAGCGGCGTCAATGTATGGAACAAAATGAACATTTGCCAGCTTTGCACCTACCACAGTGCGCAGTTTATATTTGAAAATCTGCATAAAGTGCAAATATGTTTTATAGATAAACTATTTGCTGTAAACCTGTTGTAATGCTTTTTCAATAAAACATACAGTCTTTAGCTTGCATGAAATTTTTGATAATGAAATTGAAAGACGATTTCGTCTTTCATTTAAATACAATTGACTGCGAAGTAAAATTACTGAACTGAGGTTTTTTGTGCTAATAAAGCGGCATTTTCGTCAGTTATCTGCTTAAGTAACGGCAGAGTTTTTTAGTTTGCAAACGCTTTACAACGGCTAGTAAATGCATTACTTAGTTACTAATAGCTTTGCTAGAACTAATATCGAGAGTTATCCGCTTAATAAAGGCATTTAACTTAAGGCCAAGTTAATCGACTTCGGCTTCAACGATGAAAATATGAAAATGAAATTATCTTAAGTATAAGTTTACGTATTTGCAACTAGGCGAGGCTCTTATATGCTGTCGGTAATGCGGTACATGTGATTTTATAAGTATTTAACACCTCTTTCGGAGATTCCGGTTTTGTCGTGAAGTTACAAATCTATCGCATCTAAACTTTGACTCCATGTCTGCAACCCTGTCACGGACAGTAAATACTATAATGCAATTGCATGTTGTAAGGAAAAAAAAGCAAAAGAAGGAATTACAAGATCGCTCAAGCAGCAAACAAGCGATTCATACCTATACACATATGGATGTGTATACCCTGCGTATATCTTATATATACCTGTGTGTGTGTGTGTGTGTGTGTGTGTGTGTGTGTGTGTGTGTTTTGCATTGTATTCACAGAGTTGTAAATTTACATTTTTGCCACAATTTGCCACCGTTTACATTACCGCAACAAGACAAAAATATATATAAATGCACGTAAGAAAGCTGCAAACATCTTAAAACGAATTTCAGACACTCGTTACCTTCTGCTTCTTTGGCGTCTTACAGCAAGAATATGTGCAACATGGCATTAGAGTTATAAGTAAAAGTGTTTTATTTTATTTTATTTGTTTTTTTTTTTTTTTTTTTTTTTTATTTGCATTTTAGGCGGTTAACGCTATAGCGGACGATAGTGATCTCTAAGAAATTTGCAATTGTTTCTTGAAATATCGTAATTACTTCTTTATTGTTGCTAACAACAACAAACAAGGATTTCGCAATCTCTGAACATCTTATTTCCAATGCTTTTGCCCTCGCCTTTCACGCCCCTCCCTGCCATTTTTCCGCATGCAAAAACATTTATTAGTTGAAAAATTGGGCAAAAGAAAGATCGCCTATGTAAAAGTGGATAGCCGTGTGCGATCAATGTTAATTGGGAATTTTTCAACGATCGACATTTCGATCATTTCTTTCCGCCTGTCGATTATTCGTCAAAGTAAAATGACAGTCTGAAGGGACAAATTTAGCATATTCACAGCAACAGCTTCGCCGTTCTCCATATGTTTCGAACGGCATGATAAAGTTTTTATATCCCCATCGTGATGTGATTGCTGAAAAAACTAAAATAACAGCTATAACAACGGCAACAGTAACAGCAACAGCAACAACAACAACAACAACAACAACAAACCCTTCATCATTGTTATAAACTGAAAATTGAAACAATTGAAGAGTTATTATTGTGCAGCCGACTAAAGTTGCAATTGTGCAAATGAAGTGGCAGTCACAGCGAACTGATGAATGGACGAATGGATGAACAGTTGAATGGTAGATAGGTGGATAGGTAGTGTCGGATAAGTGGCACGGAATGGTGCGCCTTTAATGTTAACTTTGTTATCCTTCTGCGTTTTTTTCATTTTTTATGGAAACAAACGAAACACGAATATCTAAAAGCGACTACAGTTAGGCCTTCGCTGCAACTTTCATTCACAAATTAGTGTTGATTTGGATTTTAGCTAGAAAAACTAAATGTTAGGCAGCTTCGGTATGTGTGTATGATTTATTGCTAGGACCTCTCAACGTGTTTTAACTAAACCGTCAGAGCATTGTGCAGGCAGTTGATGTCATAGACTTTCTCACTTTAGCGTGGTATTCGAATTCAATATGTGTTGTTGTCGTCATTAAAACAAAAAAAAAAAAAAATCTTAACAGTCGTCTTTGTGCATTTGTTTAGCAGAACTGTTAAAGTTGATGTTTTCGACTTTGTTGGCCGCATAACACTACGCAATCGAAGTCGTTCAGAAAGCTCACGCTTTAATCATTAAAATAAAAAAAAAAACAATTTTTTTTGTTTAATTTTATTAACCATTTTATTATATCTTCTCACATGTGTTCTCTGTACTCTGTATCAATCTCTAAATAGAAAGACTTGAGGTATCGATGTATCAATGATTTTGATATCTCGGCATTGCACTTACATGCATGCTTTAGTCTTGATTATGTAGCGGAAGAAGATCTCCTCACCATCTATACACAAAATTATTATATGTATAAGAGCTTTCATAAAAGCTGGACAACTTTTCATATGCGAACGTCCGGGTGATGCCATTTTGTTGAATAAGCTTGCGATTCTAGTCACGAAATCGTATTGGTGTCCTAATTGTTATGGCAATATTGCATGGATCGATCCGCAAAACTGTGCGACATGTTTCAATTTCGTGTCAATAAGCGTAGCAAAAAATTGGCATTGTTTGTGAAAACATATATTGCTGACAGTAGGAGATAGGTTTGATTTTGCAAATTACAATGTCTCAGATGATCGCCGCGATTAAAAAACTATTTAAAAAGTAGTCAATAACATCGAGGAAGAGATGCAACAAGATCCCAAGGTCCAACACACCAGTCGCTACATATCATTATATTAAATAATGTAAAGAAGGCAAAATATGATTATCGGGAACTATCAGAAAATTTGACTTCTAGACGATTTCTTTTATGTATATGTGAACTTGAAGGTACATTCATTCTGGGGAATGGCTCTACAGATTCTACGTAATATATGAATATATATATATATATATGTGCTTAATCAGTATCATATCGATCTAAGCATGCCTGTCTGTTCGCGAGGATGGAAGTTTGAAGATTTTTTCCTCATTACTCGCTGCAACAAATACGGCTACAACAATTTGCACTTGCAATCTATGGGTGATACTGACGTGGTTGCGCAAAACTGAGAAACAAACGCCCAACCAATATTCTTAAACCTTGAAATCGGATTTCAAAGTAATAGATGCATAATACCCGATCTCAATCGAATGTAATTGTTTTGTCAGTTTTTTATCTTCACAAGTCACCCAAACTGTCATTTCGGCGTTCTTTCCATACATATGTATAATCGATATATTATCAATAGAGTGACTCGAGCTTCCACTATATATAAGTAAGCCCAATGTGACCTAAATGAGGGGCAGATACCGTGGGTAGCCTTTTACTGTAACAGAAGTATCTTTCGAGATTGTTACAGTTTTCTCATTTGTTTGTGTGATGCAATTATACTCACGTCTATACTATTAAATTCAAATACTATGATAGTGGAGTGCATGGAGAATATCAATATCCATTTGTTTATGTGTGATTCACTTATGCTCTCGCTCTTATTTTTCTTGCCCGCCAATAATTCACTAAGTATTTAGGTTTGCTGCATATATATATTATATATATATATATATACTTATAATTTAGCAAAGTTAATATGAGTTTTTAAGACTTGGTGTTCTCATCTGTCTCATTTTAGGCGAAGAGAATCTGAGTATCAATGAGCAAATTGGAAGTAGCAAAACAGAGACTTGGTTAAAAGGAAACTAAAACTGGCTTTGTTAGTTGATTGTCATCCGTTATTGTGCGAACGTGTGGATATTTTCATGCAGCGTTTAATTTTTTCAAACCATAGGAGATGTCAAGGTGATACGCGTAATATTAGAATATTAGCAAAAGTCGTCTAACAAGTATTTTAACATAACCCCGGAAGAATGTTAAACGCGTTGAGTAAGCGATATTTCGAAGCGTAATGCACAAAAATTTTGCAAAAACGAGAAATTGAAGGAATTTCCCAAGGAAAAATTTGGCTTTTAATATCATGGGGACTAAGTCGCCGGGCGGACCGCAACGCTGCCGCTTAATATTAAAACAATGCTTGTCCATACAGTTAACAAAACCTGGACATACACCGGAAGACTTTTGGATGTACGATTCAGGCTATATGATCTTTCAGGTAAACGTTGAGAAAGGCTTCTAGCGTTTCAATTCCTTTTTTTGAATAATCGTTTGCATTATTTGTATCTGACTGTGCTTAGAACTTTCTGGCCGCAAATGCCCAGTGCTGGTGGAATGGTCCGCTCACAGCCGCTACTCGTGGTCTCAAGTACGCTGGACATGTAGCGCCGGGCATGCTATTAATAACTGGAGAACCTTGTGCGCTCGAAGTAATACGCGGAGCGTACGCACGCAGTGTCCTAAAGGCTCCAGCAACATATCTCATCAATTCAGTGGGTAAGTTATATTAAATATTCAGTTATACTGATTTTCCACCTGCTAAGTAACTACACTTAGACATTGTAAATTAATTCGATTTACTCATCTAGTTCGTTTAAAAAAGTTGTCAGTTCAGCTCATTAATTCAACAAAATTTTTGTTCTATTTTTTCATATCTTTGTCAAGTTCACTAAAAAATATTGAAAAATACCTCCAAATTCTTTTAAACGGTTTTTCGGTTCGTCTAAATTGAAAGTGTAGAAAAGTTTTTACAATATGACCACTACCACCAATGTTTCTAGTAGTCCTCTTAACGATGATGAACTTTCCGATATAACGAAAAAAGAAATTGCATTTTGGTCCAAAAAATTAAATCTATCCCCTTCAGAACTGTTTACGTTATCGAACGAAGACCTTGAAAAGCGTTTGAATAAAGCTCAGGGCCGCGAAATAAATGATGAGGAGCGTAAGCGGCAAACTCGAAGTTGGGAACGTCTGAACGAAATGAAATCGAAACTAATCGAAAGGCAAGATGGCCGGCGACTCAAAGGTGGTGCTAATCCTAATATATGGGATATTATGATCAGAGCTGCTGCAGAATTAGATGAAGTGGTCGGAGGAGGTAGCTACGACTACGAAGATGATTATGATGATTCTTCATCATGTCCTTCTCCTGGGGATATATCGTACGACGAGAGTTACGAAGAGAATTTCAATCCAGATGCCGTTATAATGGCTACCTCGACGCCAGTCGAATCAACATCGGGGGCTGCAAATGTCACTTACAATGCGGACGCCGCCCGTAATGTACGGCCTAATGAAACATACACTGCCTCACCCGGTGCTACCGTCAGAAGTGCCACCTTTACTAGAAATGCAACTTACTCTTCTCCAAGAGGTGCAGTTAGAAGCACTAGTCGTTCATATGTGCAATGTCCACCCCGCGCTGCTAATCAAACCTACAAAGTTAATTCACCTGAAGCAAAGGCTCTTGCAGAATCTCCAGCGCAAAGTAATCAAACTTATGCTGTGCCCAGCGATCGGACTTACTCCGCGCCTAACGATAGAACTTACAACGTGCCTAGGGAGCGAACCTTTAACGTGGCTAAGGATCGAACTTATGCCGTACCCGGCGACCGAACTTTCAATGTACCTTTGGATCAAACATATGTGCATGGATTGGATCGAACCTACCCTAGAGCATATTCTTGTCCCGCTGGTCAGCGAACTTACAATGTGACTCCAGGAAGTGGAAGTGGCTCTTCGTATGAAAGTCCTACACTATATTCTCCCTCTTTGTCGCCGGAAGGAGTTACACCACCTAGAGCAACGCCTCCCCCACAATTCGGATCTACTGGCGGCTCCGGCACACAAGGGTTTTTATATCAATCCACGCCAGTCCAACGATATCGCAATTACACAGAGTACTGCATGAGATTCGGCACTGATGGCTGTAACGAAACGGGCAATAGTATATCTGTGGAAAATTATGATGCCAACTCAGGAATGGTTCAAGCTGCGTCGCGCACATACAATATTCCAAGAGTAGCCGATGCCACGTACGCCGTCCCAAGAGCAGGCGATGCTACATACACCGCTGCACCAAGGGCAGGCGATGGAGTCTGTCGCTGCCCTGGGAATCCACAAGCTCGCGATGCCACTTATAATGTGGGTGCAAGCCCTTCTCCACACGTTCAAGGTTTCGCAGGCGGTGCAGCAGCGCAAGGAGTCCCAGCAAATACTCCGGCCTGCCCACATGCAGGTGATGCAGGCTATGCAAACACTCCGAGACGAGCATCTCCTACAAGCAATGTAGTACGTAGACTACGTTATTAATTGCACGACACAAACGTCACAGGAATGTAGACTTATCCAAAACTCTATATAATATATTTGAATATTATTATCTTTCATCTAAAATAAAAGTAACTATCTATAACCGTTGTTTTGTTCGCTTTTTCGTACAGCCGTCTCGTAAGCTTTGCCACTTCCAAAAACCCCTCTGCCTTTAAAAAAGTGTCTGCTGTTAAACATATATCTAGTTTATAAAAGTTTTGCTTCTCCATCATACACATGAAAAATTAAGATGTATACATTTCTCTTTTGACAATTTAAAAGGTGACATAGAGGACTGTATTGTTACACCCATTATCCAAGGCCAATTTACTCCGCTACATGAAGCAATCTGTGATGTTATAATGGATCTAACCACAGTAGGACATTCGGCCACTATCGAAAATGTACGAAACCATCTTGAAGTAAGTTTTCCTCATATGACAACGCCCTCGGTGGAGGTTGTATACGATACTTTAGCGCAATTAATGCAGGAGCAAAAAATTTATCAAACAGCGAAAGGATACTTCATCCTTACGCCAGAGTAAGAACTAAAAATTGCACAACCGACAATATACGCATTTTGTAAAGTTGTCTTTTTTATTTACAAATGTACAGACGCCGCCGAAGTCGTTCACGTCCTCGGTCTCATCACAACGGCTGCACAGACTTGGATGAATCTTTAAATAATGGTCCGCAGGAAGTGCGGACAATATTGATGACGAACGTCGAGGCTTTACATTCTTTGTATGGGGAAATATCAACGGAACGGGACGGAGATCTAACGCATCAATGCATTCAGACGAATTTAGCTGATGTTATTTGTGGCGGTAAGTGAATTATTTGAGTGAAAAATAAAATTTAACATCGTGTTTCTCTACACGTAAAGGTGTTTAATTATTTTGACCAATTTCTCAGGTAATTCAAATGATAAAATTTTATATCCGCGGACTTCGAAACGACGGAGTTCATCTTTTCCAACGCCAAGAAGCTTAGAGAGGCGTCACAGTCTGCGCCTTTTCGGTTCTTCGAAACGTTTGCAGCGCTGTTCCTCCACCCGTAGTTTATCAAAAGCTTATGCGCAAACGCTTCACAATACAGATAGCAGCAGCTCCGAATATCAAAGTACAGATTCTTCATCACCAAGTAAGAAGCAGACAATAAAGAATAAATTGCATAACAATCTTCCATTCAAATATTAATTTTCTCTGAATTCATTTAAAGAAAAAGGATCGCTGCTGTCGCGTTTGTTTCGTCGAAGTGGACGAAATAAATCACGGCAACTTGAAACTTATTCTGCTCAATTTCCTCCTGTGGAGTGGTTCAACTCAAAGGCAGTTCATTTACATAGTGTCGGTACCCAAACAGCAGATCATGTTAGTATTTATTTATTCACGTTTCGAATATTTTCTACATTATTAGACTTAAATTTGCTTTTAGGATTTACCGACTATACGTACACTTTCGAATTCTACGTTTTACGATGGTTTAGAATTGAGTCAACGTTCCTTAACATTACCGCGACGACATCGTCGTCAATTATCTAGTGAATCAACATTTCTAATATCCTCTCGTGATTGTTCACCTATTCGAAGGCGATCGCCTGTTTATAGCAGTAGTTCTCTTCCACGATCCACACAATCGATACCGGCTACAGCTAATAACATTACAAAAGGGGCTATCACGAATACAACAAATAGTTTTTCTGCTCGCCTATCTAACCCCTACAAATGTCCCAATACGCAGAAATCTGGCCAAATAAGTCGCCACATACTAGAACATTCCCCTTCACGGAGCACTAATTCGAGCAAAATGATGATAAGTTCAAATAAATATCAAGACAATAAATGTGAACAGCGCAATTTAGCCAGTGGCCCTTCTAGCTTAGAATCTGGTAAGACTTCCACTTTTAATTCGGGCCCTTCGAGCATCGAGAGCAGTAAAGCCTCGCTTAATAACAAAACCAGCGGTCACTCTAGTCTCGATTCACAACGTTCTAACAGTTCAACCACGATTCAACCAAAACATCAAACACGATCCATAATTATGTTGAATGGCTCTCCACGAGGCACGCCACGTCATCAGATCATGCGTGCTCGCAATGCTGAACAAGCATCATCATTTAATCATCAGCCTGCCAAAACTGCTACAACTCCGACAATAAGTAATCTAAGTGCGAACGCCTCTACTACCTCTTTCACGTTAACACCAGATAGAACGCATACTTTAGAAAATTATGAGAGTTCTTCTGCACCAATTTCCAATTCGACCTCAAACAATTCAATCACTCTAAAAGTAACCACTTCGAACGATAACCAGAATTCTTTGCCCAATACAAAAATTGTGGTACAGAACACGCCAGCCCAAAGTGTTATAACTTTTGAGAATAGTCAACTTACCGAGAATTCCAGTGTATTCATTATAAATAACGAAACCACTACCAACGAAAGAGGTGAAGTGTTGCGTAAAACATTATCTAAACACCCTAACCCATTGGACACGACGGCATCAACGAAAACTTCGCAATCAGTGATTGACCAATTTGCTGAAAATGAACGCATACAATCAACCAATTATAAGACGCGATCGTCTATCTTAAAGGAGAATTATTTAAAGGATCAGTACAACTATAATGTCACGGATACTTTCGACATTTCAGCAGTAACGAGTAGTAATCAGTCAACGGTCCAGCAGAAATTAGCAACGACCAAGTCTCTTTATAACGAGACGGCAATGAATAACAGTCGTAAACTCAGTGTACCCTCCACTTTACTTACGAACAATTCCAACCGCTTAGTTTACAAGAACAACGTGCTCAGAGGTGATGGTTCGCAAACTGTCTCATCTAATGATGAAAAAAGCCATGACGACAAGCCTAATGTCGAAATATCCGGCTCTATGGGGAATTTAAGGTTCTTTGAAAAGAATTCCAGAGACGGCCTAACGAAAGCCATCAATTCCAATTGCGAATTGAATAATCTTCGTTACGAAAGCACGATCGCCTCTTCACCCGCCAAACCAACCAAACTTAATTCAAATTCATCGTTAAGCGGTAATAATCTAGTTCATATATTACAAAAGAATAGCATCGGCATTGGTAGCGAGCCGAACTTATCGCAAAAAGATAACAATTGTGTTTTAACGGCCGATGAGAAATCGATAAAGAAGGAATCACTAAATCGACGATTTAGTATAACGAAGGAGCCATCAACGGAAGAAGGCACTGACGAACTCTGCAATTTTCCTAGCTTAACGGATCTATCATTCAATTTTACCTCGTTGGCGGCCCAAAAAATACTGCAGGGTGTCAGCTTAAACAGTATCGACACATTAGTGGAATTAAACATGGCTGCAGCGGCTGCAGCGGCTTCAGTCAATACAACAATAGAAAAATCGCAAAATAATCAAAACACTGTATGCACGGACTACGGCCTAGTTTAGTTCAAAGCCACTCACTCGTCCCTATCGCATTATAGGTTATAACGATCATATTGTTATGCGGTCAAAATTCTCAAAATACGATCGACCAGTGATTCTCATCTTCTTCTTCTTCGTCTTTTTTTTTTTTTTTTTTTTTTTGTAATCACAAAGCCAGTTCTAATTATACAAATACATTAACAACCGTTATAAAGAAAGCTACGATTTGGATTTTCGCCAGTTATTTTGCAATAAACTCAAACCTTTAATGAAGCAGAATGCAAGAATTATTAACGGAATTGATGAAATGAAATATAAACAAAATGGACGGTCTTTGCTTCTTTGTTAGTCCTGTAGAATACGTAACGACAATACGTCGCGACAACAACGTTGTTTTACATGCAATTGTAATGAGTTTCTTGGCGAAATGTGCGCGAAGGGGCAAAGGGAAGAGAGAGAGAGAGAGAGAGAGAGAGAGAGAGAGCAAAGAATGCAGATGCAAAATACATTATAAATTCAACACAAGATCATGTCATCATCGTTTATCATCATTTTAGGGCTGCATCAAATCGGTTTTTGTACTTTATAATCAGAAGTTTCACATTTTCGTGTCCATTTCGTGTCGTGTTAATACAATAAAGTGCCAAACGAAAACTAACAAACAGTAATACAGTAATATAAGCAAGTTCATTTAGTTTTTAACAAATCGAGAAAAAAAAAGAAAAAGAAAAAAAATATGTACCGCAATCAATTAACACCAGTCAAACAGGATGAAGCCAGTTGCATAATTGTAAATAGTTCTTTCTTTCTTTTCGTTTTCGTTTTGGTTTTTTTTTTTTTTTTTTTTATTATTATTATTTTTTTAAACATCGACTATCGAGTAACATAAACCAGAACGCTTGCCTTTAAAATCTTGTACACATAGCTCGAGATTTGTATATATATTATCACTTAAGAGTAGATAAGAAAGCAAGTAAAATGAATTGATGTTCGTCTAAGGGCGAATATTGAATATATGCCACTTAGGAACTGCAGATTTAGGCTACGTACGCATGTATGATATGTATGCACAATAGCGTAGAACAAAAATGTTCCGGAGGTAATACTCCGCGGAGCGGTCAGTTATTAATTTACTCAAAAATTTATTGTACGAAATTTTGCAATTGTCACAGATCGGTTCTTAATAAATTACTGAATAAATGAGTTTTTTCTTTTTTTAACTTAAATGTTGGAAGTAAGAAATTTTAGCTATTTGGCTTCAAATGTAAGCCGCCCAGTTTTGGATTTTGTTAGTCTCAAGTAAGTTAGTCTTTCAAATTTTACGAAGCTTTCTATCATTAAGTGGCGAATATGGGTGAAAAAAAAAAACGAAAGTAAAATAATAATAAAACTAATAAAATATGAAAAAGTTTTTTTTAAAAGTGCATTTGCGCATGATATTCCCCTTTCAAAACATTGATAGTACGTACGTACGTACGTGTAAATGCGTAGTAGTTAAGTATAAAATTTAGAATTTATAAAAAGAGAAAATCTGAGAAAATAAAGATCAAATATGCTTATATATACACACACAACCATCGGGGTTTAATAATATCAAATATCAACAAATGGCGAAGGCGAAGGCGAAGGCGAGGTTTCCAACAAACCACATGACTTCAGTATATTCTTCAAACGTAATTGTCAGTAATTAAAAGCTAAGCCGGCTATCATTTTGCTGAAATAATTGCTAATAATACAAATACTTTTCTCGAAGAGGAGCATTGAATTTATTTTCTCGCAATTCGCTTACGGAATCTAGCAAACAATCACTGCTAATGACAACTTAGCTGAAAAACTTTCGTCCACAATAATTGTTTGTCAGCAATCAAAGCCTTAATAGAAGCAATAGTGACTCTGTACTTATGTTAAAGCCAGCAAGCTCTTGACGTTAATCTATCCAATCTAATGATTTATCTAGAAGCTGTTTTTCCATTTGTCTTACTTCAACCGCTAGAGAAGTGATCGTGTCAACTTTGAAGCAAGCTTTGTAAAAATAAATCGTAAAATTTATATCCTGCACGAAAGGAATCCGAACTCACGTCTTTGATCGTAGCCATTGTTTCTACTTAATAAAGCTAATACATGTCGCCTAGTCTAGAAGACATTGGTACTTGAAAGCTGTGTTGCAAGTATTAGAAGTTAATTCATAGTTTTCGAGAAGCCCTTAATAGGGTAATCATTCATTAATCGTATAATAGCTTGATGCGCTTATGTTCACTTAACCAAGTTTCATCATTTCGTTCATTTTATTTTCATTAGTGAAAAGATCAAGACCTGCTCATTATAATTATATTTACATATAATTAGCCCCAACCCAGTCGTTCCGAGTCACACATACCCATCGGTTATAAAATTGAACTAACCATGAGGGTATATCGAACATTTATAATTACTTTCATCAGTTGCATGGTTCTAAGCGAATGCTATCAGAAGAACAATAAAAAAAAAAATATTTCACTCACGTGAAATTTTTCATGTGTATAGGTTGAAAATCTTCGATATCTCAACTTTGTTTCGACACAACGCGTCGAAAACAATGGACTCATCAAAGGAGAAGGAGGCCACAAGGTTAATGGCCTTCAGATAGAAAGGGAAGAAGCAGCACTATGTTCGATGCTAAAACTATAATCGACAGCAAATACTTTGCCAGATGACAAGGTAAATGCAAATTGGTTAAATTCCGGGTTTTAGATTGAGCGGCATAAAAAGAATATCTCAGATTTGCATTTTTTCTCTCTGATTACATTTTTCAAATCCGCCTGAGTAGCCGAAGGCGAGGAATCTCGACTAGCAAGTCAATGGTCGTGGGTTCGAATCTCCTCAAGCGCGGCAGAGTTTTTAATAAAAGCCGATAGCCTTAGATGCTAGTGCTCTTAAGAGATTAGTCTTAGAATTTATTTCTCTGGCGAAATTAATAATAATAATAATACATTTTTCAAGTCGTTGCTGTGGTGAGATCGTGCGCGGTCCATGCCAAAACAAACTTGAGAGCGTCTTTGATCTTCTAAGCAAATCGTGTTCACAAGCCATACGTAGACAGAGGGCCATCAATATGTTTTTTATCATAAAATAAATCTAACCTGCCGTTCTACTAGCTACTGATTTGCGTTTTTAATAATTGTCAAGAGATTTTAATTCAACTGCTATAAACATACATATATAATAATCAGAATTTCTAGTAGAAAGCAACTATTTTCGGTAAGAACTTTATTTTGACTTTTATATTAACAGCTGTACCGTAAAAGCACATATACAAGTCGATAGATTTTATATATTTCAGGTGTGAGTGGGACGGTGTGCTGGGTTATGAAAAAATCTTTTGGAACTCATCACCTGTATATATATAAAATTTATGTATATGAGTACCCACATGTACATATATGTATATATAAACATCTATATGCAGAGCCTTCTTTTATTGATTTAGGAATTGTCGATCAATATACTATACAAAGGTAAGTACCCGGGTTTGAGAATCCTTGCAAGACCCTTTCCGCCTTGTCGCGTAATGTTCACTCTTACTTTTTACTTTGTTGCGAAAACTGCTTGCAACCTATATGGTTTCATCCATACTTTGCGATCTTCTTTAGTTATAAATTTCTTGTAAAGTTGAGCTAGAAGAATCGAGGATAAAATAGTAGAGTTAAGGGTGATTCATAAAATAATGTCATCATATGAATCTTTTGTCTTGCTGTGTTATGTCGCTATAGTGTAGGGGCGGCGAAAAGCAATAGAACATTGAGAGAAATTAAGGTAAGAAGAGTGCAAACCCTTTAAAATATGTGTTTATTAACTGATGAAGAATTCTGATAAGGACGTGGCATGAAGAGATGCATGGCTTCATTTTTTATAATCTCAAACTGAATTCAGGACACATAAAATACAAGAAACTTTTTCAACTTTTTCTTAGCTTTTCCTCAGCTATGCGCTGACGAGAAACGAAAACAAAGCCATAAACAAATCGTATGGCGTTAACAAGATGCACAAGTTTTTAATTGCAAGTGTATGTAAAATGTAAATTGCTGCGTAAGCACTGTTAGCCCGTCTGTGTGCTATTATTTCTTTCATAACATTTATTTCTTTTTTGAAGGTTTTCCTAATGACAAGTAAATTGGATCGTAAGAACATTAAATCGGAATCATTTGCGCACACTTTTTTTTTAATGCCGACGTAGCAATGCTTAAAATTGGTCAACACCTACCTTCCTTTTCGATTTTCATTGGCGCACGATCATGTGATTTGCCGGCAAAATTGTCTGACTTACGATTACTACCAGTTGTACAGTTTTGACGCCATTCTGCCTCCAACTTCAGTCCTTAACATTAATTAATAAATAAAAACGCAACGTATGACCAAACATATAACCCATCGTCTAGTTGGAGCTTATAGCAACAAACACTTTTTCAACCACTTTGATTTGTCATTGGGAAAATCAAACTGGCCTTTCCTGTTGCTGTGTATTAATTTATATAATTTATATTTAAATATAAATAGCTTTATTTATATAATAACTTTATTATATACTTAAAATAGCTTTTATAATATATTTAAAAATGTATATAGAAGAAATTATTATTCTTTTTAATGTTTCTTACTTGGTTTGGTAGCTTTTGCTCTTCTATCATCTCCTCTACATTTACCATTTAAGTTGTTAAGCTAAGTTGTTAAGTTGGGCTTTTACCCATTTAATAGAGCTGCCATTTTTAGACTATTTTTTACAAGAAACTGTGTACTTTGCCTTTTAACAGGGAATTTAGCGAGGGCGTTGTTTAAAAATTATGACGGTTTAATTCTAAGCTAACTTGTAAAATACAAAAAATTAAGAAATTTTATATGAGAACATACATTTATAAAAAAGAATAAAGAAACATTAGATACTAAATAAATTGTAGAATTACTACCTCATGTCTGAGGTAGATAATGTGGCATAGGCACAAACCCTATAAGAATTCATAACATAGCAAAGATTATGGGCTTTTTGTATAGACAGCATTGCCAGATCAAAGGAAAAAAATAGATTTTCTTAATGGTCTTTGTCCGAGCTTAGAAGGACAGAGACGTTATAAAACGCATATAAAGATTTAAAATCAAAGTTTGTAGTAATAATTACAAGTGCGGACTCTTCGATTATTTTGAAATAAATCACTGCATTTCCAGCTTCGAAACAATACGTACAATAAAATTCTCTCGATCTTAGCATAAAATCGATTTTATGGTAAAACAGGGTTGGCAAAACAATGGGAAAGACACATGAAAAATGTTGGTTGCATTGAGAAGCAAATATGTGTGGCTGAGTAGACTTGTAATATTTGAACTGTAAGAGGAGTATTAAGCTTTGACAACAACCGGTTATTTTCCGAAAGTAAAAGCAAACAAACGAAATCCCGATTTTTTTATCTAATAGATGTCGCAGGTGATCTTGTCCCCTTCGTCCAGAGTATAAAGATGTTTTTGTTAAAACTTACGCAACGTCCAGAAGGACGCTTCAGAGACCTCACAAATTATAAATATCCTGGATTAGCATCAAATTTTCAATCGATTCAAGTATGTCCCTCTGTCCGTCTATGTAATGTCTATTGCAAACATTCTCCTGGCCGCGAAAGTGAACCTATCAACTTCAAATATGGCAGAAACATTGGTAGCTTTAGATTTACATTGAAAATAGGCCAAATAAGTTGGACGATATACCTAGAGTAGCAGGTATGCCCAGAGTGTCTCTTCTTCTTCTGCTTTTTTGCTCATTACTCGTAATCTACAGCAGATAAATATGCAAAAATTTGAACGTATATTTTATGGGCGATGATAGCATCCCATAATTTAATTTTTTCTTTAATACTTTATAGCGCACAGTAGCCTGTAAGGCTGATTTCTATGTAATTTTGTTATCGTGAACTAATTTTCGCCATGAACTATTAAAAATGATAAACTCTTCCTATATAAAGATGCAGTTTTCGTAAGACCGATTACATGAGAAAGAGTTCAAAAAACTGCCCCAACTGAACGAAGTTTTTTATACCAATTTGGAATGTTCAAATACTGTCGAAGAACAAGTTTGGGTTCATCCTTATGTCAAGGCACGTGAGTGTACCAAATTTCATTAAAATACCTCAAAAATTGCGACCTACAGCTTGAACACAAATTCTCAAGGACAGATATCGGAGGGACAGGCGGACGGACCGCCATACAGGCTTAAATCGAGCATTCACAATCATTTTCGGAATCGATCGGTATACTAAAAGGTGGTCCTATTTGCAGCCTTTGAGAATGTCCATATGTCCGTACGAACATAATATACTCGGTACCGAGAGTGATGTAGGGTACAATA